ATTTTATATGAGTTCAATGGATTGAAAGCTTTGATTTTAAAGGAGAATCCCTGTGTTTTGTATGTTCATTGTTTTGCTCACCAACTTAAGTTGGCAGTTGTTTATATGGCACGTAGGAATGATATGCTTAGTGATTTGTTTAAAATGCTTATTATTATTGTCAATTTGGTGGTCGTATCATGTAACTGTGTAGGTGCTCTCCGAGCAAGTTACCATTTCGAGATTCTGATGAAGCTTAATATTGGAGAACTTTGTGGCGGCAACGATAAGTGTCAAGAATGAGTTTGGAATGACAATGTGATACTAGATATGGCTCACGTCTAGTCACAATTACTCATTTTATTAGTATGTTTAATAATATCATAAATGTTCTTGAGAATATATCAAAAGATGGCATAAATTCATAACAGTGATCAATGGCCAAAAGACAGACAAGCACTATGCAAGATTTGGAGTTTATCTATATTTTATGCTTGAAATTCTTGTAATTACAGATGATTTTTCATAAGCCTTATAGAAAAATGATCAGGACATTTAGAATGTTATGATGTTACTGAGTTTGTGTAAGTATACATTGTAGAACATGAGGGACAATTGGTGGGATAATTTGTTGAGTGATGTGATAGAGTTTTATGTTGGTAGACATATTGTAGTGCCCAATATAGAGGATATTGTAGTATTGAAAGGCCGACCTAGGCATGGAGTCCAGCATGTGACTTATTATCATAGATTTTATGTTGATTTGTATTGCCACATGACAGACTCAATCTTACAAGAGTTGAATGATCGTTTTCAAAAAAAAAATACTAAGCTCCTTATTTGCATTTTATGTTTGAGTCCAATAGCCTTATTTGCAACTTTTGATAGGACTAAATTGATACATCTTCCTCAATTCTACCATTTGGATTTCACTAGTGAAGAGTTCATATTACTCATACATCAACTTGACAAGTTTTTTATGCTTGTGAAAAGGGACAAAGCTTTCTCTAACCTCAATAGCAAACGCTAAAAATTATTTTGCAACTCTTCTTCTCTCATTCTCCATATCTCAAAGACATCCACACTTTCATTTATTCTTAAGAAGTAAGAATGAAGTAAAACAACATATTTTGGGGTCTAGCAATGAATTTCTTTCCTAACATGAAGTCCCCCATTTTCGTATTCATTTTAAGGTTATAACATGTGTAGTAGTTATCTACTTGATTTCTATTGAACTCTTGTGTTTAATTGTTTACACTCATGAAGTTATGCTGCATTATTTTAATGATTGGCCACCAAAGTGATGCTATAGTTACAAAAAGTTGTCCTGCGAGACTTGAATGTACTCCTAAACTCTATAAATATGATCAACTCTATGGATTCATGTTAAATATATTTGTGATGCACACAAGAGTTGTTCGTGTGAAATGTCCACGTACTCATTTAGGGTTGGCGATAGGGGGCAACCATTACCATCCCTGTCCAATCGGTATTTTTGGGAAGCGAGGCAGGAATGGGGATTAAAATCTCCATTTACCAACTCGTTTATCTATTTATTTATTTTAATATTATTTTTAAATATAGTTTAAATTGAAAAATATAAAAATAAAACAAAACAAAAGGCTTTGGGCTATGACCATATGCCACATCCTCGCTCTGTTTATTATCTGGGGCGTTGTTCCTCCAATTTCCTCTTTACATAATAGTATTAGGATTGTGCAGAGACGGTTAGATGGTGGAGCATGCTATTTGAAGGAATGATGTTATGTAGCACCAGTGAAATTGAACACCAGGTATCAGTACATCATATATATTATTTGTCCTATTAAATTGGTCATAATTCCTTATATTTAATTAAACTTATAATTTAATGTCACTGGTACTGTTATCTAGACCGGTGTTAAACACCAGTGGTTCTAAATAACATTACTCTATTCGGAGTGCCGGAGTTGAAAGAATTAGTGTTAAGTTTGATGACCCTTTAAAGTCATATTTCAATTTGTGTTATGGGTTGTTCAGGAAAATATATTTCGAATAAAACACACCACAAGCGTACGGTTCGTTAACAAGTAATAAAATGGACTTTTTGAGTCCAAGTGTCATCCCATAAGGATTGATTCGTTCTAATTCTAATTACCGTGACCTTAACCAAAACAATAAAAATGAGAGTATTTGTTTTGATGAATTTATAACTATATTAATGATGAAAATGCGATTATGAATCCTTTAACTAAACTGAATGAAATTTATGTCGAATGCAAGTTGAAGTTTTTCTAATATATAATCAATATACTAGGATCATAAATCCCTATGTAATAATCTTTTTAAACCTAGTTTTACACTTTGACACACGATTGAAATATTGAAGGATCAATGCTCCTAAATTATTTAACAGTTTCTCTCGAGTAAAGTCAAACATATTCTAATATGTCACATGACTATATCTCTATGACGGATGCGAATATACAAGAATGCATGAGTTTTTGTGAGCACTTAAAGATTCACATAGGGTATAGAAGTATATTTTTATCCCATATCGGACCCTATGATGTTTATACCACGTCGAACTTATTCCCCTTCTTTCGAATGTATGAAATAAATCACCACACTCACACAATTACGTATACAATAATTATGGAGAAAATGAAATTCATATAAACCACTCAAACATCCCAAAAACATGTTTCGATGTCAAATATGCAAAACTAAAATTTAAAAATCATATTACATAGTTCATCTAAACCTAGTACAGAATTAACCTAGCCTAACATAGTGAAAATAAGAAAATAAGAAAAATAAATAAAGAACAACATCACAAATTCAATTCTTGAGTTTAATTTTCGCTTCATGGTGTTGCTCTGCTTGTTTTTGCCTCTTTTCTTCTCTTAAAACTCTTATGAATCTCCCCCTCCCCCGCGTTCTGGACGGCTCTAGGGTTTAAATACGTGATCATGATATTGTTTCCATAAGTCATTCAATCGAATAAAGTAACCAGAATTTCGCGTCAAAATTTCTACTATGCGAACTATGCAACCGCATGGTAGACTTCAAAATGGCTCTAATGTTCCCTGAATTGACATATGCGACCGCATGGCTTTTTGTGCTATGTGACCGTATAGTATCGGTAGCTTCCAATTGCTTATGTTTTGGTCCTTGACATCTTCACGTCTCCAACTCCTCTTCCGAGTCATCTTTTGACTATTTGCAACTGGTCCCTGAACTTTGATTTTCTTTCGTTTTAGTCATTTTTCACTTGTTTTTCATATTTTCCGTCACATTCATCACGTTGTCATGCAACACACAATTTACATAGAATTAAGTTGTATTTAAACATATTTATCAATAATTATCCGTGTTTGTAGCCCGAAATTAGTCGTAAAACACACTTATCATGGGTCAAGTTTAATGTTCGTGTTATTTTAGGAATTTTTTTTCCCTGTCATGGTTAATAATTTTAGAACATGTAATAATTTGAACTTTGTACTTGCAATAATTTCCAAGCTAATGTAATGCTATAAACGTAATCGTTGAAGTTTGCGATTTTAAACTAATTTCATGCTAGTGTAATGATGTGAAATTATTTATTTATGAATATATGAAATCCGTTCCATGAATTGTAATATGAATCTTATGTTTTATTTACTTAAAAAACAAGATACGGAAAAAGGATAAAAAGAAAAGAAAAATCGGGGTAGGAAGTAAACTGTGCTCGAACGATTGTACTTGCAGCCATTATCCTTGGCGAGATGCTACAAATTTTGAGGCAAAGAGCTTTATGCTTTGTGCTACATTGCTAGCAGCCGCTAGTTGTTGCCTCGCTAGCGAGCGGAGCTATCTCATCTATCTCAACACTCATTTAAGTCCCTATTTCATTCCTAATAAAATTCTAGATGTCTATGATTTAATTAATTATTACGTTGTATGTATTTAAATATATTGTTTTCTTATGAAAATATGACCAAGATATTCAATTCCTCGACTGTTCATTTAGTTCAAGATTGCGCGTTTAAGTTCATGAATGCTATGAACCCAAGTGATACTCTAGGCTTCTAGAATTTGGGGTGTTGCGCTTTTTTTTTTTTTTTGGTTCCAAATTGAAGTAAACGTATAATAGTCTTTCAGAAGAAAAAAATAACTTTTTGACAGTAAAACGAACACTTTCTGTGACGTATGGACCCAATCGCACATTGTTAAGTAGGGTGGGAATAAAACACTCTTGAATATTGGGAAGCCGTTTCCACACTATCTAAACAGTTAAGGAGCCTAACCTAGTTTTTTTCAAATATTAATTCTATAAAGCTTTCAATAAGATTTGCAGGACGTGATATTGTGTTACATCTACGGTGATTACCTTGATATTATATTTTTCTTTTAATCAAAATATAGGTATTCAACTTTTTTTTATTATCGTATTTAATCTCTATTTTTTCATTGTATCTTATTTTTAACCTTAAACTAATTTGTATATCTCATTCTCAATGACGATTTTTATAAAATAGTCCATTAAGATAACGTGAAAAACTTATATGCTTTTCAAATTTGTGAATAAGTACATATACAACAAGTACAAAAGCATAACAAAGAACTATTTCTAATTTTAAAATATATTAATAACTCAAAATAAGAACAATAAATACGACAATAAATAAAGATTGAATATAGTCCTCGTTTAGTTTGGATTAAAATCAAAATAAAATTTCAAATATTTCTTTTATTTTGTATTTAGAAGTAAAATTTACCCCCACAACCACCGTTTGGTTAGCAAACGACAATAATGCCACGCAATCTTAATTTACGAAAATGTCCCTATAGTGCAGGGGCATTTATGCTCTCTATTAAATTAGCCGTTTCGCATATGTTTCTCGTTCATCTTTTTGTTCCCTCTTCCATTTTTGCTCTGGTTCCGTGGGAGGTCTCTTTCTCGTAACTTCCTCTTAGAGCCTCCCTATCTCTCTCTATATATACACACTATCGATATATTCTTGTGAATTTCGTAAACTGAAAGTTGTAGTGATAGAGCCATGGCTTCTGATAATTACACCGATAAAAACGCAGTTTTTCGCAAGCTCAAAGCCAAGTCCGATAACAAGGTTTGCTTCTTTTTTTAATTACTTTTGATTTTGATTTTTTTTTTTTGGAAGTTTTGATTGCAAATGCGGAGATCTGATTCAGATCTGCACTGTTTTTATTTGGATCTGCTTTTTGTTTATTTACAGATGTGTTTCGATTGCAATGCGAAGAATCCTACGTGGGCGTCGGTGACGTACGGTATCTTCCTTTGTATTGATTGCTCTGCTGTTCATAGGAGCCTCGGCGTTCACGTCAGCTTCGTTAGGTATTTTTTATTGAATTAGCCTATTTGTGCAATTGTGGTTGACAACATTGATGTTGTCAGAATCTGGACCGTTGATTTAAAAAATATTTTTTTAAATGATGGACGAATGTGATGTTGCTAAATGTGCAAGTAGCCTGATTGTTTTTTATTTGAATGAAAATTCTGTCAATTTCGTTCTGTGGTTGATCAGATGATTTTCTAGATTGAGGATTTAAATTCGGAGATTTTTAATCCGGGTTGTACTGCTAATTTTTTTAATACGCATAAGACTATTGTCCCATGGGCTGTAAAATAGATAATGGTATGAATGGGCAATAGGTTTTTTAAGCAGTATGAAAGGAAACATGAAGATGTTATATTTTAGAGAGAGAGATTCTGATCCACGTGTGTAAGTTGTCAAGTTAAAGGTTCTAGATTTTGAGATAGTTGTTTTGCTTTGGCTTTATTGTCAAGGAGTTGGGGACTCACTCATTTTATGTATTTATTACTGCAATTTTTCTTCTATATTTGTCAAAAGAATGGCAATCTTTAGTACATGCTAGGTTAATAAACGTGGGGTTTTTTTGTGAAGGATTGTGTAACTCGTGGTAGGTTATAAATTGATGGTTGGTGTAGAAACTTTTTAATATAAATTGTGTTATATCTTCATGGAAATACAATGGAAAGAAATAGCTATAGTTGCTGAAAGTGTAAGGCTTATTCAGTTTCAACAGCTGTTACTGTAATTGAAGGATTATTCTTAATTAAGAAGATATGTTCTTAATTTTTACCAAAATCCTGTTAAGATGATAGGGTGAGTATCAGAGTAGAATAATGAACTATTGGAAAGTTTCTAAAAATCCCCTAATAACACGTTATTCATACTTTTATCGGGTAACGTGGGTGATCAATTTACCAGAATATGACAGTTATTAATGAATACCTTTCTGAAAAGCTGATGTGTTAGAAATTCGATTTACTAAGCCTCTATTTGATGAAGATTAAAATCAGATTTTTAGTAATTTTTTATAAAAGTTGCGGATCTCATTAAATGTGTGGTAAAAATTAATTGTTGACTTTGATTTAATATTAAAATCAGATTTTAATCAGAACCAAACAAGGGCTAATTGTGCATTTATTCACTCTACTTATGTACTTCCTGTGCTAACAAATTTAATATCTGCTCACAGTGACCACTCTGTGTTATGCTGATTGTTTCTGTGCACTGTAGTTTATTCAGATATGAACTGAAGTTGAATTGATTGTCATATTAATTATCAATTTTCTTTTGTTATGGTCAATGTTTAAAAATGCATTCTTGGATGCTGAGGTATTTTTCTTTGTGATGCCTAACCGGCTAACCGTAAAATAAAAATGTCAAGAAATTATTAAATTGCCAAATAAGCGCATTATACACAATTAAATTATAACTAATCTTCAAAGTTCATAGTAGAGCAATTTAAAGTGTGAAATATACAAAAGAAAAATCTAATAACAAACAAAAAAAAAACTATTATTTTAGTTGGTGGTATAGTGGACTATTTCGAAAAAGTTAGGTGTATGAAAAACACAATTTTTTCATGTTTTAGTGGGCGCGATGGGCTATTCCCAGAATGGACCAATTAGAATTTTTATATTTTGTGGCCCCACACCTATAGCAGAGTTAAACAAGTCTCGAGAATTGAGGAGACCTAAAGACCAGATGCTACCAGCCGTAAACACGTAGAGAATTATATAGAATCTCACCCGAAGAAGAGAAGAATAGATAAAAGAGAGAATATGACTCTTATATCTTGGATAGTTGATACTTCTTCTGCCTTTAAAGCAGGCATGAGCTAATATATCAAACTTACATCTAGGCTTGGGCACGGTTTGGTTTGGGTTGGTTTCGATCCCACCCCTAAACCAAAACCAAAGTAGTCGGTTTGGGCGAATTTCTACCCAAACCAAACCAATCTAGCTCATCGATTTGGTTTGGTTTGGTTTGTTTACTCAAGCAATGATCTAGCGAAGCTCGAATCAAATTTTTTCTTTTCCATGCTTTCTTCTCATATGAAATGGTTGGAGCTATGAACCTTACCTTATTTATTATTAAAAGGAAGGTTAATCGGTTTGGCCTTTTGTCCCAATTGAATTTTTCTATAAAAAAGTTCTCTGATTTTGGGCCCACTTGCATATAACTTTGTTTTGGATTCCTTTTAACTTTTTTTTGGAGCTATAACCTACGGCAACAACCAACAGGATTGGAAATTCAAATTTCAAATAATGAAAATCATAACCGATCATTGTAATATCTAAGCAATATGTGCACATCATCCTATTCAACCTGTAATTTAAAACGCATCCAGACCATAACCTATTCAACTTATTGTTGTCAGCCTGATTCCAGACCATAACCTGTTGTTAACTGACAACCTATTTAACATGTAATTAACGCATCCACACAACTATAACCAATAGCCTGTAATCTAAGCAAATTCATAAATGTCATTGATCCATAACCATAAATGTCAAATTCATAATCTAACAGCTTGTGATCTAACCAACAACCTGCTAAGTGTCAAATTCATAATCTAACAGCTTGTAATCTAACTAACAACCTGTTAAATGTCAATAATCTAAGCAAATTCATAACCATAGAAATCTGGTAATATATGTTTATGCTCTCCCAGTGCAGACAATACGTAAGTTAACGATTTGGGCACAGATGCTGGGTTTTAAGAAAAATACGTTTTTTTTTGTAACGACCTGCCTAAATCATTAATTTACGTACTATCCGATATGGGAGTGCCTAATCCTATCTTACCCTTCACGGCTTTCTGTCGCATTTCTCAAGATTCGAACTCTTGACCTTTCCCTTAAGTGAGACTTAAGTTGAATTCTCGTTTAAGGGTAAAATGAGTTAGGCTCTCCCCATAGCGGACAGTACGTAAGTTAACGATTTGGGCACAGAGGCTGAGGTCATTACAGTTCTTCCTTTTGAAATTGTTTGGTTTGTAACTTAACAAAAGTTTTGCATGGTGTTTTATTGTCCCATGTAGCATCACTTTTATTCTTTGGAAATATATTGATTTGTAATCTCACAAATATCCAACTTATTGTTGTAGATCTACAAATTTAGATTCATGGACTCCAGAGCAGTTGAAAATGATGTCCTTTGGTGGAAATAATCGTGCTCAAGTTTTCTTCAAGCAGCATGGATGGACTGATGGAGGCAAGATTGAGGCCAAGTATACATCAAGGGCTGCTGAGTTATACAGGCAGTTGCTTTCAAAAGAAGTTGCTAAGAGTAATGCAGAAGAAGCAGTTTTACCTTCATCTCCCATTGCATCTCAGTCAGTTCACCCTTCTAACAACTTTCCTGATAATAAGATCTATGAAGCTCCAAAAGGAAGTTCAGTTAATGATTCACCAGAAGAAAGCTCTTCTGTAAAGCCTGAAAAAACTGAGGTTTCTGCTTCAACCAAAACCTCTCTAACAGGTGGCACTATGATCGTGAAAAAGCCTCTTGGTGCAAAGAAAACTGGGAAGGTCGGGGGCCTCGGTGCCAGAAAGCTTACTACTAAGGTGAAGATTAAGTTTTTGCTATAAACCAAATGGTTTAAATTACATAATATATCTAAAGATGGAAGTGATAATTGTTTAATGCTCCACGCTTACTGAATATCTGAATATCTTTCTCCCAATGCAGCCTAGTGAAGGTCTCTATGACCAGAAGCCTGAAGAGCTCCCCCCTGTACAAGTTTCCTCAAGCACTTCTTCTAACAATGGCACCCCCAAAGTTGCTTCATCTTTTGCATCTCGATTTGAGTATTCAGACAATGTTCAACCTGCTGATATGAGTCGTGGAGGTGCTCATGTCGTTGGCCATGTAACTCCACCTAAGTCATCCAACTTTTTCGCTGAATATGGCATGGACAGTGGTTTCACGAAGAAGAGTAGCATGAACTCAACCAAAGTACAAGTAAATTCATTTTTTTCCTATATCATTGAGTGACCGAAATGGAATCAATTTTCAGTAATTGATAATCTCAACACAGAAGGAAAACAATATCTGTTGGCTTGTGTAATAGGAATTCAAGATCTAATAAATACAAAAAATTATTTTATTTGTTGACAGTCATAAGGTCATCTGCCTTCTATTTATGGCATCAATTAAATGAATGTTGCATTGAAACATGAATTGCATTGAAACATGAATTATTGGTATAGGCACTCAAGTCAAAAGTTGCAATCAAATCATAAAAAGCTGAGATAGTAAGATTCCTTCATTCCTAAAAAGTACACATTTTGAGGCCCTACAATGAAGCTTTTAAATGTTTTAAAGCTGTTTATCAATTCTGTGTTGTTAGATTTCTGCAACTTTTTGGTTCTAGTGCTTCTTTGTTTGAAGGCAGAAGCCCACCAATTCCATTTTGATGCAGATAATGGACATTTAGCATGTGATATGCATTCAATTTTTATATATAAGATCTTTTTAAAGATTGATGAAATATCTGTAGGGTTTAATTCTTTTACTTATGTTCTCGAATTGATTTTGTCTTCTGTTTTGCCCTTTCACCTTGCTGATTTTTTTATTTTAATTATTTTCCTTTCCTGATGTCCATCTTTGAGTTTTCAATTGTGTCGGGGTTCTGAGTGATTGGATGTTATTTATGCATGTTTCTTTCAATGCTCGAGATCTCTCAACATAATTCTTTCACCTATATCATATCAGGTTGAGGAAACTGATGAAGCGAGGAAGAAGTTTTCTAATGCAAAGTCCATATCATCAGCCCAGTTTTTTGGTGTGAACAAAGCCAATGATATTGAAGCATCAGCTTCCCTGCAAAAGTTCTCTGTATGTACTGTTATCCTTATACATTTTTTTTATTGCTTACTATTTTTTCTTTTGGGTGAGTTGGGTTGTCGTTTCATTAAATTCTGTCTCTCTGTCCCAGCATCTTGGAGATTATTGAGTTTTATATGATGATAACAATGTCTATATGTTTTTGAAGTTATTTGATTTTGCATAACTTTTAGATGAGATTTTTTAGAATGTGTATTAGCCAGAGACTTTGTAAATCAACATTTTAAATATTTTTACATAGGAAGATCACTTGATTGGTAAAACTGTTCCTTGTCCACTGTGATTATAAAATTTTAGGTTTCTGTACTATAGTTTGGTCCAATTCAAAACTAAACTTTCGGTACTTAGTTCACTAGTATGTAATGGATTCAATGTTTTTAACACTAAAAGCAGAATCCAGATTATAGCGCTTTCTTTATACTCTTGCATTTCAAATAATGTATCTGTCATTTCACTCGATATTGAGATGATTAGTACTTGAATAATTCTTGTTTACATAATTTTTCATCCAATTCCTTGTGGAATACTTTCCTTAACCCACTCTGAACAAGCATTCGGTAATGTTATCTTACTTGAAACTGGTCTATTTGTTTGGTAGGGAAATTAATTGTCTTCAAGGATTGTATATGCTGAATTCACATTCTTCTGTTCTCTTCGGTTTTTTAGGGTTCTGCATCAATATCTAGTGCTGATCTCTTTGGTCACGATGCCAATAATTCGTCTGTTGACCTCACAGCAAGTGATCTCATTAATCGTCTCTCTTTCCAGGTACAAAGGGGGATGTTTGGTGCACTGTATTATTTTGTAATGGAGAGGACAACTTACGAGATTTCAACTTTTTTTTTCCTTAATCCTACCCTCAACTATCTAGTCCTGCCCACTAAACTTGCCCAGGCGTATATGTTGGGCATGTTTTGCTTCGAGATTTCTTTTCCTTTTGATTTCACTCCTCCCCTCGTTGATATATCTCTTTCTCATACATCACCGTCTCTTTTTTTGGTTTTTACATTCGCCGATATTATTGTACCTAATATTTAACTCCTCGTTTATGGTATTTAACAGGCACAACAAGATATCTCCTCTATTAAGAATATTGCAGGAGAAACCGGGAAGAAGCTAAGCTCCCTGGCGTCCAATATATTTACGGATATTCAGGACCGAATCCTCTGATAAAAATGCCTTATATTTTGAACTTAGACCAAGTTTGTTATGGTAACTGCCACTGAATCTTCCATGTAGTTCATGTAAAACGAGAGGCTTTCAATAGATCAAATAAGATCTGAAAGTACTATGTTTATCATTTGTTTTGTCTTAATTTGTGTCGCTAGTTGTGGAGAAGATTTTTTAAGGATACTGATGTTTCATGCATTTTTGAAGTTTCTCAATCTTATAAATATTATGTATTTTGTGATGGAATGCTGATATTTGAAACCCGATTTACATGTGGGGAGAAAAATTGTTATATTTTACAGTTTTCTTACTCTTCTGATCGAAGGCAAGGGCTCGTGGCATTTCGTCTTTCTATTCGAAGCATCATGTTGTTAGTCTAGGCTGTAGTCAATTCAGCAAATCCTGGTTGACGACTCTGATGCCGATCCTTGTTGCAATTTGCCTGGGGAATTTCTTGTTCTTATCACAATTGTTTTTGAGTTTTTTATTCAGTTTTTGTATATTTGGACAATAGTAATAGGATTTTGGAGGGGGAAAGATCAATGGAAGAGTTGGTTGCTGTTTTCCTATTTGAAAGGGGAAGAAGGGAGAAAGGTCATTCCTTGTGCACTTTCTATTCCTTCCTATATTTAAGTTGAATTTCTCCCCATTTAAATCATTATGATCATTAGTGGTTAGGCCGATTGGATGAGAAACCTTGCTAGCTAGGTACTGGATCAAATTAGTCTTGCAATAGGATTCGTCAGAGCCAAACATTGTCAAATATTGATTGTCATAGTTTTTGAAGCTCGATCAAGTCAGATTTGTGAGTCACATATTGTACAGTCAAATATTAATTGTCCTAGTTTATGTGACTCGTACTAGCCACGAATGGGGTATTGGATCGATTAGTTTTGTAATTGGACTCGCGACAATAAACACGGTCAAATGTCGATTGTCTTGATTTATGTTGCTCATTGAAGTCGTTCTTGTGAATCGGGTAGATCAATAAGTCTTTTTGCATTTGGATTCTTTAGAGCCAAACATGATTGATTGTCATAGTTTTTGTAGCCAACCATGCTACATGTACAATGGAGGATGACAATGTTGGATTACCAACACTTACAATGGGAGGGGCCCACCCTTTTTTTTTAATCATGCAGGACCCGTATGTATGTGAGAGGTTATCAATCTCCATTGTCAACCATCCATTGTACAAATGGAATTACCCTTTTGTAGCTGAATCAAATCACATTTTTTTAGTCATATATTGTACTGTCAGATATCGATTGTCCTAGTTTATGTGACTCGTACAAGTCACACCTGCGAATATGGTATTGGACCAATTAGTCTTGCAATTGGTCTCATGACAATAAAAACTATCAAATATCAATTGTTCTAATTTATTAGAAAGGCTCCCTTCCCTCAATATTATGATCGAGTTGACCAAGCCAAATCACGAGTGAATAAAAAATCGAAAATTTCAGTAGCCTATTGTTGTTCCAGCCATTTTTTTAAACCACTTATCCTAACAGAGCATGAGTGAATAGAAAATCGAAAATGTACATAGCTGTTGCTGTTCCAGCCATTTTTTTAAAGCACTTATCCTAGGTGTAACATAAGTAATTATATATATTGTTTATTGTTTTGTTTGTTTTTATTTTAATAGAAAGAGTTATTTTGTAAATTTGAGGTACCGAGATGCAAACAAGGTCTCAGATAAGAAGGTGCTTGCATGCACCAACGGCGTTCCCACTAACGAAAATCCCAAAGGACGAAAAAGGGGGCAAACTGACCTATCGATGGAAGGGTGTGCCTCAATTGAAGACTCCGTTCTTCGTCTTTTTTGAGAATTGATACAAGATCGTCTCACCCCCAAAACCCACCCCTTCCTAGTGGGACCGCGTAATAGAACTATTATGTGACGAAAAAAATTATATGAGACTCCTACACATTCATCGAAGCTTATGTTATTGGACCAATTAGTCTTGCAATTGGAATTGTTAGAGCCAAACATGGTTAATAATCAATTATACCAATTTGTGTGGCTCATCAAGTTACACTAGTGAGTTAAAGCATAGTTATTAAAATTGGATCAGACCGGCCTGTGAACCGATGAATCGGACTATGGTCAAATCCCTATTGGCATTATTTGGTCCATTTACAATGGAACCAATCAAGAATCGCCTAAATTAGTTCAGTTTAGTTGAATCGGAATCGGTTCAATGTGAACCGATTTTTATCAATTTTGCATGGGGAGATATTCGAACTAGTGCTGCCTTCTTGAAAGATTAGAGCTTTGACCACTATGGTACATGTACCATTTTATTAAGAGCATGTTTGAACTTCATTTTCTTTTTGTTCAAAATGCATTTTGAAATAATATTTTGATGAAGAATGTGTAATTAAAAAAGACAATTTTTGATTTGCGTGTAATATTATTTTACTAAAAATTGTGTGGTTGAAAATGAGATAGAAAAAAATATATTTTCAAAATAATAGGACCAATCAAGATCTAAATATTGTAAACCTATATATATATATATATATATATTCTGTTTTAGGTGAATAACATATATATTGTCTTTTTGGTCTAAAAAATAATTTTTTAATTCAAATCGAGAACTAATACTGATCCACCGTTTGAACTATTAACCCGATATTTTTTGGGTCAATGACCGGTTCGGGTTCGATAACTATGGAGTTAAGCATTGCACCTAATTCATTTTGCAATAGGACTCTTAGAGCCAAACACGTCATAATTTTTTTTTTCAAAATTCAGTATGGGCAATTGGCCCCCACACGCCTCATGTGGCTAAGTGGTACTGGGCTCTCTCGCTTTCTCTGTGATGGCGCTGAGGTTTTCAGTCTCCAACTAGCAAAAACTTGTTTTGTACAAGTGTAGTAGTGAAAACACTTGAAATTTGACTAAGCATAGAAGTGTAGATGATTGAATTTAACTTTAGGCAACACAGCACTTTATGGGAATCGTCCAAACTTTATTTCTCGCCAAAACCAAGAAAACACGTTACAAATACATGAAAGGGCCAATACAACACCTAGTTGACAGCCCGCAATGAAACTAAGTACTTAACATTTTAATTTATAGAGAAACATCCATCCCCAGACTGCCGGCAATTGTTGGGTCAATTTTTCACATTTTCATCCCACTTGGCTAAAAATTGCTCTCCCACTCCAATACATGCATAGCTGCTTGTAACCGCCTGTCGCATGCCACCCTTACGCCGTTTTGATCATTGAATTCGTGGACTGAAGTCAGCTAAATAGCAAGGTCTCAATACTATCGAACACTTGCCCACGTCAACCCATTGATCAATGCCAAATTCGACATGGGTCCCTAAATTGTCCCTTGTTGCTGCCATTAAATAAATTAGTATCATCTTGCTATGATTACAGTCGCGTCTTGAAATCAACCCGAATGTCTTGCTTAATTCCTTCACGAATGTAGATTCTCTGGACATCCCTGTACGTCTTCGACCACGACATGGCATGGTCAAAACATCATCTGTGCCATGCTATTTTTCTCGGTCAATGTCCTTACACTAAACGAGTGTTTCATTAGGTGATGAATGTTGGGATTTTGTTTTTGGTTAACTAGATTTGAAAGTGATTTTTTATTTTTTGAAAAATTTAAAAGTAAGAAAATTATTGATTGACTTGTAAAATTATTTGCGGAGAGAAATTTTTGATTAAAAATGAATTTTGAAAAAATGAAAAATCAAACCAGGGCAGAATATAAATAAGAATCTAAACACCGCATTCGCAACATTCTAAATATAATCAAATAAATTAAGATTACGCATAGATTTTCAGTTGGCAATATTAAAAAATAACTATTTATTAACTAAGAAAATTTTTGTCAATGAATAAAGTATTAAAAAATAAAATTCGATGCTAAAGACTGAGAATTTTGTCTGGAATAAAATAAGAGTTAAATAAAACAACTTATTCACCATTAATTTTAAGGTCTCTGTAACCTGTTTGGTGTAGTAAAAAATCAGTTTTTAGTACATTTTGATAAAAATTAATGAAATATGTGGTTGGAGAATTATGGATCCTATAAAATGTATGATTAATATTAATTTTTGACTTTAATTTGAAATTGAAATTTGATTTTAATCTATACCAAATAGATGGTTCAATGGCATTAAAAAGTTTTATCTATCGAAACGTTAGACAAGAGTAAATCTCTTAAATATACCAACATATTGGTTTTTGGACNTGTTAAAATAATAATAATAATATAGAAATTTTGTTGGTGACACTAATTACTTTTTTCATCATTGATTAGCGATCGAAGTACTATTGGTGATTAACAACAATAATGTCAACCATCTCTGAAGAAGGTGCATCGGTGCGGTGATATTGGCTTCACTAAATATGTTTAAAACACTGACAAATATTCATTTTTCGTCAAACCCACTTATAGAACGATCACCGAGAAAATATCCATATGATAAATTTATATATTATTATTGATAAAAACTCCCCTTTGAAATTTTGTTCAATACTCTGTTTGCTCAACTCGTCTAGTTGGAAGTGTACAATTAGTAGCGACTTGCCATCGATCCACCAGTGCATTGAATTACATCTAGAGGTAGGAAAAGTCGATCTTAAGATAGCAATTAATCGTGCTTCCACTAACAACGTTGGAGCAAAAAAATTTCTACTTGTATATAAAGGAAATGAATATACTCTGAATATGTTCTTTATTGAGGGTTGGAATAATTCAAATTAAAGGTCACAATTATTTGTTAAAAAGACTAGTCAAATTAATGGATAGGAAGAACTATCTGGTATATATATATTTTAAAAAAATATAATATGACCAAGTCACTTCCCTTAAGAATTTTAATATATCCTTTCCCCACATTATTGTTATACTCCATATCATCTAACTTGCCTTAGGACACTAAGGGTCCGTTTGATTGCAAATGTGGAAAATAGGTGGAAAGAAAATGTTTTATAAGGAATTGATTTACGTAAAAATTGTTTTACTGAGAATTGTAATTAATTGTATTTGATTGGTATAATTTCAATGGAAAATGTTGAAAGTTTGGTATCCGTTTGACTTTATTTTTTATGAAATTTGTCTATTAAAGTGATAATGTTTTCTAACATTGGGTTTAAAATTTGTTCCAATTCCCAAAAAAAAAAAAAAAAAAAAATTGAAAAAAATAACTATGCCGAATATCATTCGTTTAACTTTATTTTATATGGAAATTGTCAATAAAAGTGAATTTTTTTTTACCATTGTGTTCAGAATTTTTTCTAATTGCAAAAAAAAAAAAAAAAAAAAAAAA